CACACACGTTACAGCAACTCAAACCCTGCAAAAACACACAACCGAGGACCACTCATTAGCATTGCAACGATAAACACACACGTTACAGCAACTCAAACCCTGCAAAAACACACAACCGAGCACCTCTCATAAGCATTGCAACGATAAACACACACGTTACAGCAACTCAAACCCTGCAAAACACACAACCGAGGACCACGCATTAGCATTGCAACGATAAACACACACGTTACAGCAACTCAAACCCTGCAAAACACACAACCGAGGACTACGCATTAGCATTGCAACGATAAACACACACGTTACAGCGACTCAAACCCTGCAAAACACACAACCGAGGACCACGCATTAGCATTGCAACGATAAACACACGTTACAGTCAAAGTCACAATTACAGTTACAGTGTAGCTCAATTACAACAATGTGAGACGATATGACTGTGCAAAATATACGGTATCTACACGGGTCTATTTCTCCCTTCTTCTTTAGTTAGTTGCAACCTTGAAGCTTTTTCTACTGCGATCCGCAGTGTTGATCTGTCTATTGACGTCTCTCTTTCCGTCTTAGTTATATAGTCCCTTGGACTTTGAAGACTATAATATTCACGAGGTTATGAGGGATCTGCATGCAGCGTCGCTGTCGCCGCATGTCATGGCTGTCGCTGTCACAGTGTTGATCTGTCTTTGTCTCTTTACATCTTCGATATAATCCCTTGGACTTATATAAGACTATAATATTGATGAGGTTATGAAGGATCTGCATGCAGCGGCGCCGTCGCGTCGTGTGATAGCCGTCATAGCTTACCTAGAGAGGCGAGGAATTCGTGACCGCCCGGCTGCCGCCACATCTTCACGCTGACCGGCAGCTGGACGCTGATCTCCTTGTCCTTGGGCGTCGACTGACCAATCACGTGCCGAAGCTGCGTGAAGCGAAATACGCGTGTTAGACGTCGTCAACATGGCGCCGTCTCATCGCGTGATGTCGTTAAAGCGAGACAAAAACCTTCATACGTACCACGAATGCACTTACAGAAACAGAATGATATTTATGTGAGATTAACTTAACAATGAATGTTTAGCAGCTGTCTACATAAAAAACATCTCAAGGATTAATCTTCGAAACATCCTTGGAGGCTTAAGGAGAGGATACCTACCAATCTAGAATATCGTAGGATAGGTTTATCATAAGATCGTGAGCTATACAGGTCCTAAACAACTAATTGCGAAGCACGTGGCTATTGCGCGTTGTTATGAGAGAGATGGTAGTATATACATGTTGACACTTACAGTGTTGCTGAGAGCCTGGGCACACTCTGGTGATGGTAACAGCTTGGAAAGAGCCACCAAGGTGCTGGTCGACAACCCTAAAAAGTCAACAACGCATCAAGGTCAGACAAAGGACAAACTACACGGATGTAATACGGTGCCTATTTTATACCAAACTGGTGACTGGAAATACCAAACTGGTAGGGATAAAAATCTTACTACCCTGGAAAATGATATCGATTATCTATTCGGTGGTACTCTGGTGACTACGTGACATGTTTAGAACACGAATCACTGATTCCTGCATCCATGCACGCTAGCTCTTGCTCGTACCTAACAGAGCCTGTAGACTTGTGCTGCACTGCACCAATCTCTCTCCTGGATCACTCATCGGGAAGAACACGGACGGAGGAAGGCCGTTGGACCCAGTCTCAAACCGAAAGCCAACGGATTTCAACAGTTCCTTCCAGCCATTAGCTCCACTAACCTACAAAACATAGACAAAAGATTACAACAGAGTATTATCATCAGCCGCCCTTGTTACTATATATCACAACAATATAATAATATAAATATACTATATAATACCCTCTATTCTAATTAAGCTGGATATGAGTATAGAGGCAGACAGAGTAAGTCATACCTTGAGTTCAATGCTCTGCTGAGTTGTGTACATCGGATTCTTCAGGCCCCGATTGATTCTCTGCAGTGACTTCTCCACCTTGATGAAGGAAATATATGAAAAATAAATACAATATAAAAAACACACGATAAACAAGTAAACATATTAATTCTGGTATCATCAAAGTTTACGTGGTATGCATATGGCGCAGGGCATTATGGGGGCGTTGGCAAAAAATAACCACGACGCGAAAAAAGAAAAACAAAGTCTAACGAACGCTCTTCGCGCCGCGCCGCGCCGCGCAACCGCGTACTTCCCGCGGCACTCACCAGGTGGAGCACGACCCTCATGGCGTCGCGCGATCCCTCGGCATCCTGGATCATGTTGCAGAGCGAGTGACCCATCTGTGCGACCTTGCTGGTTAGCTTAACATCGCTGCCGATGATGAGGAAGCCGGCCCAGTGAGACGGATGCGAAAACTGCTTTGTGTTTCGCACGAATCGCATCGCCTCGCAGAGCGCGTGACTGACGCGCGAGCCTGAAACAAGAGAGCATGACGATGAGCGACGCTGATGACGCCGCAGCTGCGATGTGGCTTTATATATAAAACTTTGTAAACTAACTAGCCCAAAATCTTAGATAGCTACTATCTAACGATTCACAGATTCACTGACCATGCAGCTAATACAAGGTCGAAACTAATGCAGGATCAATGCAACCAATTCACCGATTCACTGATTCACTGATACACACACCTTGTAACTAATAAAAGGTCAAAACGAATAATAATTCAATAAAACGAATCAAATAACTAGCCCCGATTCACACACCTTATAGATAATTCAAGGTCACAACTAAAAATAACTAAATAATCATAATAAAATAAAGAATAATTAAAAAAAAAGAGAATAAAATATTAACTAGCTCAGAATCTCATAAAATTCACGTACCTTGTAGCAGCGATGTGTAGAAGGTCTTCATGAGTAGGTGTGTCGCCTCACCCGGCGCCGGCCACAGCGGCACGACGACGCACTGCGCCCCGGCCGCTAGCAGCGCCCTCGTGAGGCCGACGACGCCGTCCGCGCTCGCCCGCGCGTCGCCCCCCGTCAGCACGACGAGTTTCGCGGACAAGCGAACGTCCAAGATGTCCGCCGCCGTCAGCAGGAAGTCCGCGAGCGCAGGGGGCGCCGCGAGCGAGGACCCGACCTCGCTGCCGCTGTCGTGCAGCTCCGCCTCCCCGTCCTCCTCGCCGCCGGGGGGCGCCACCGCGGCCGCGCGCGGCGCGAGCACGATCGCCGACAGCTTCCAGGAAACGCGCGCCGCCAGGTGGAGGCACTCGGCGTTTGCGACGCGCCGCAGCAGCTCTTCCTTCGTCGCGTCGACCCCGGCGATGCAGCGCGTGCCGAGGAGCTCGGCCACCGTCTCCATCTCGGCTCCGACCTCCTCCTCGCCGACCCCGCGCCACTTCTCCCCGACGGACGCAGGCAGCAGCGGGTTCCCGAAGACGAGAGCGGGGACCGTCTCGCCGCCGCCGCCGCCGCCGCGGCCGGCTGCGCTCGCCGCCATGTCGCGTATCGACGGCACGACGACGACGGCGAAACGCTCGTAGAGATACTCGCTGTCGTTCTCCCCGCGCAGCACGGCGAACGGGACGAGGTAGAGGTCGCCCTGCAACACGAGAACGAGCTCGCGTCGGCGCGTGTGACGCCCGTTGTGTTTCATGAGAAGGTCCTCGAAGGGAGCGACGAGGGTCGCGTAGAGTTCGCGCACGGGCTGGTTCGCCCACGCGTTGTTGTTGTCGGTGTTGTTGCCGTGACGACGCTGCAGGCTGCCCGCGCGGCTGTTGTTGCCGCCGCCGCCGCCGCTGCTGGAGACGCTGCCGCTGGCGCTGTACAGGCTGTAGCTGCTGCTGTTGCACACGTGGCTGCGGCTGGTCATGCGAAGGAAGTCGCTGCTGCTGCGGTCCTTGCCGCCGTCGTGGCGCTGCTGCTGCTGCTGCTGCTGCTGCCACACGTCGTCCGCCTCCGTCTCGGTCTCGCTGAGCGCCTCAGACGACCTGAGACGAGGTTCGAGACACGTCGTTAGCATCCCGGGTTTATTCTCATCTCGTCATATTTCTCAATTATTATCTTTTAATTACTTAATTTTTGCTCGTTTTTTAAGTATATTTTCTATTTTATATATTTCTATATCTATTTTCTATATATTTTCTATTTTAATTGTGTTCCTACGCACTAACGTATTCCTACTCTGCCTAGCCTATGCCAGGCTCACACAAAAACAGTACAGCATCACAACATGCCAATTCTTGAGGAAAAGACGGAAAAAAGGAAAGAAAACCTCCCTCCTACCTTGCAGCCCCTGACAGCGTTGTCTCCACTCCGAGCGCCTCCCGAACATCGGTGATGCACTGGTCAAGTGTGGACACAGTCGCAGTGGACATGATCTGACCGTCGACGTCCGAGCGGCCATCGTCATCCTGGTCAAGGTCACTCAGCGAACACTGGTGGAACTTCACGACTCCTGCGGGAGACAGGTCGAAGGTGAATCGAAGGTCGATTGAAGGTCAATCAAAGGTCATGATTCTAGCACGACAGCAGTATGCATTTACGCGTCCTCCTCTTCCTCCTCTACCTTCTCCTTCTCCTTCTGCTCCTCTTCCTCCTCCCTTCCTTCTCTTCCTCCGCCACCTTCTCCTTCTCCTCCTCCTCCTCCCTCCCACTCTGTCCCCCCACCACCTCCTCCTCCTCCTCCTCCTCCCCTCCCAATGATCTGGACACACACAATCATGCTATGCCATTGATTGATGCTATCAGTTAGAGCGAAAGATATTTAGTTTGTATATCATATTCATTATCGACGTTTAGCATCGTTTATCGCTTACCTATGTCAGGCAGGATGAGCCAGCTGTAGAGGAAACCAGCGACGAGCGAGTAATACAGCACCGACGCCCTCTGCTGGCTCACAACATCAACTATCTGCTCGACCGTCGCCGGCGTGCTGGCGCACATCTCGGGGCCGACGCCGGTGGCGCCACCTGCCTGTCGTTCGAGCAGCAGGTCGACGAAGGCTCGCGTCCGACCGCGCTCGGCAACGACCAGCGCCTCCGTCGTGCGATTCAACGCGACGAGAACTCTCTGCAAAATGAAACGACGCGCCGTCGAATTGTAGGAGATTCATGGAAGAACTACTGTCGAACGGACGAGATTCATGGAAGATCTGTTGTTCTATGTACTTCCTCCCCATCGAAACCTTCATTGCACTCGGAACCTATACTAGTGTAGACCGTTGAACGATGGAGACTCGTGGAAGAACCGTTGTTCTGCAATGTACACATTGCATACTATCCCGTACACGCGTGACAGTGTAACAGTGTTCGTATGAAGACTAGGTGTTGAAGGTATTGAAGGTAGATAGTGTTGGTATGTAGCTAGGTATGAAGGGTTGATATGAAGACTAGTAATTGAAGGTATTGATGGTATTGAAGGTAGATAGTGTTGGTATGTAGCTAGGTATGAAGGGTTGATATGAAGACTAGGTATTAAAGGTATTGATGGTATTGAAGGTAGGTAGTGTTGGTATGTAGCTAGGTATGAAGGGTTGACATGAAGACTAGGTATTAAAGGTATTGATGGTATTGAAGGTAGGTAGTGTTGGTATGTAGTTAGGTATGAAGAGTTGATATGAAGACTAGGTGAGGTTTTTACCTGTAGGGCTTGATATGAGGCAGTCTGCAGGTCGAACAGAGACAGCTTGTACTCGTTGCTCGTGTGCGACTCTCGTCGGTGACTCTCAAACAGATCTGCTGCCTGTAACCATGGGAAACCGCTCGGTCAGTGGAAAACATTCTAAAATATTCGTCTCTAAATATTCTTCTCTGGGCAGGAATAAGCTAATGTTATTTACATTTATTGTATCGGTTCATGTTGTACGCAGGATAAAGTTTGTGCAGCATATATATCTCATCCTGGGCTTGATTTAATTCTGCGCTACCATCTACATCCCACCCATCCATCCCCCCATCCCATCAACCTCTAACATAAACCCTGTGCTGCCATCTACACCAAAATATGCATAACTACGCGTGATAATACCCACACTGCCTACTGCCGACCGCCACCGTCACCCCCACCTACATGGCTACCTACGTCTAACATAGAACAGGGGGCGCCACCTGCCCGTGCGACGCTCCGTGACCTTCGACTGACCTTGTACAGTTGCGTCTGTGCCTCCTCCAGCTCCCTGTGACCCCACAGCGCGAGGCCGAGACGATGACGTATCTTAGCTTCGTCCTCACGCCTGCCCAGCTGCTCGGCTATCTGTAACGCCTGCTGGAGGTAGGAGACCGCCTGCGGGTAGTTGCCGAGAGCGTGGTGCACGCGCCCTGGTGGCGGAAACAGAAAAAATAATAGAGTTATCGGACTGTTTGGTTTCAAACTAGCACATGTTGTAGACATGCAGCATAGTTTGGTTTTGTATATAATTTGTAATATCTATACACACACACACACACAATATATATATATAGCATATATATGGTAGTTACGTAATATATAATATTACATATATATATAAGTATATATATATATATTATATATATATATATTATATATATATATTATACAACACCTTGTTGTAAGCAATCATCAAGAGCAAGATCGGTGTGTCAAGACCAAGATTTGAGTTGAAATTCAGCTCGATTAGTAGAACCTTACTTTGACAACTAAAACTATCACTTTATAAGCAAACAAAAAGAAATCCCTCATGGGAAAAATGAAACTCAAGATAAATGTGAATATCATGTGTCCTATATTATGTGTGTTATACTATATCAAGAAAATAAGGCACGGTGGGGTACGTGTCACACAACACTACACAGGCCACAATGGGTTTTGTTTTTAGAGGCACGTTCTGTCTAGAACATCTCATCCCACGCTCTGCTGGCGAATGACCTCCCATTACAACAACACAACAAGTAAAATCATTTCTATCACGTATGACAACCTCTCCCTCCTATCCCATCCGTCCTACTCATAGCGCTCTCTACTGGCCCCGCCGATCTTCGGTTTTCGCGTGGTAACACGATAGACGCGTGTACGCTGCGTAATGTTAAATCGTTTTTGCTACGTAAAAGTGACTGTGTGATACTGATGGTTAAACGAAAGTAACGTCAGTGGATACCCGCGGCGTTTGTGATCGTGAGCAGTCTCGCGCACACGCCCTCGTGTCGGCAGTCGAGTTAACGCTCGACCTCGAGAAAGCACGCCCAACCCATTACGTCATGTCTCCTGTCAGAGGGGGCACGGGGACAAAGTCAGTACGCGTGCGTGTGCGTGCGTCGCGAGTGGCGATGGTGTGTGTTGTTTCGAGTATGTCAGCATAATATCATATGCATTGCGCGTGTGAAGCATAACTGTCTGTGTGCTATATGTGCGGCGTGTCTGTGAGTGCGGCGTGTGCTTGCTTACTTGTGCCAGCATATCTGCATATGCGTTTGGCATGTATGGCGTGCAGTGTGCACGCAACATGCATGTCGTGTTGAACGTGCGTTGTGCGTGATGAGCGCCTGCAGGGTTCCCCGCACCCCCCCTTCCGCCCACCCCCCTCCCTCCCTGCTTCCAAGTTCCATCCCTCCCCCCCCCACTCCGCCCCTTCCACCCCCTTCCCCGCTCTCTACCCGCCTACGCGCCCCACCCCCGCGCCCGTCGCGAGTGACTCACCAAGGACTGCTGTAATAGCGAGTGACTTTCCCGACTCGATCGTTCATCTGAGCGGGCGATTGCTGAGTCCGTTCGCTCCTGGGTATTGGACCCAGGCCTGGCTCGAAGTTACCAGAGCGACGATCTCGTGCGACACGCCTAAGGTTCCGCGGACGCGCCTGCCCTGCCTCGCCAGGCTGCCCGTCTCCTCGGGCAATGTCAAGGTCCAGCTACGAAACGACACGAGCGACAACGACGTCAATGCTGATATTCGCTGACAGACATTGATGACAATGGTGATCAATGGTAAACGGACATGACCGATAACCAGGAGGGTCGCGTGTCGGGAAAAAATTCGTCTTTATGTTAGTGGTAACTTAAAATTTTGTAATTTTGTTGTCTGAAAGAAGTCCTTCCTCTCATATAATCAAATCAAGCTGTAATGCGGATAACTGCCACGCGTGTAACGTGCTGTCACCTGTGGTAACGCAGCGCCGTGTCGTACTCTCCCATCTGCTGGTAGACCCCGCCCAGTCCGCACGCGGCGTCTCCTTCGCCATCTTGTCCGCTTTCTCCTGAGCAATGCGCAGCTGGTGCTCCAGCACGACAGATGGCTGTTCGTAGTTACCTGCAAGGAGCGAAGTCAGTTTACTGACCACCAGGCTGTTTGGTGATTGAAGATCTAGGTAGATTGTATGATAGAAATACGGAAACAGTGTTTGGCACAGAAGAGCGTGAGAGAGAGAGGGAGCGAGAGAGAGGTAGAGAGAGAGGGGGAGGGCGAGAGAGAGCAAAAGAGAGAGAGAGAGAGAGAGTGAGAAAGAGAGGGAGGGAGGGGAGAGAAAGAGAGAGAGAGAACAAGAAGAGAGAGAACGAGAGAGGTGAGAGTGAGAGAGAAAGAGCGAGTGGGAGAGAGAGTGGGACAAGGATCGTTAGAGAAGAGCGAGAGAGAGAGAGAGACACGAAGGAGGTGAGTTGAAGCAGGGAGAAAGAGGAGGAGAAAGACTCGAAGCATCGCACGATGAGATCAGACTCAGGAGCACCAGAGAGCAGAGAGGAGAGGAGGAGACTGCGTCTATCGAGAGTGAGAGTGAGGTAGAGAAGCATACGAGGATCGCAAGCGCTGCATGACAAAGATAGCTCTAGAGAGAGACGAAGTGCACGAGTAGCCTCACGCAATATCACTGCAACGGTAGACGAGAGTACGCGCGATCGATAGAGAACGTACAGAGAGAGGACGCATGGCTCGACAGATGATTGCAGTAGGCAGATGAGTTAATGGGGCTCCTAGACTGACAGATGAAGATACGTCAGATCGAGACGCTGAAAGAGGCGCATGGCCAAGCACCTCTCTCGTTTAAGGCTTACATCTGACTGCTACAGACTTGGCCTCTCGTCTCTCTTTTGCGATAGACGTGCTTCCAGTTCGCCTCCCCCTCTCATCTGTTGCACGTACGCAGCCTTTCTCAGTTTCCATTCGGCTCCGCAAGTCAGTCTCCTCTCACGTCCGATCTGAGTAGACCAAGGCCAACGTGTCGGATATC